GTAGTAGTAGTAGTAGTAGTAGTAGTAGTAGTAGTAGTAGTAGTAGTGCACTTGTTACTACAGTACACATAGGTACGATGCTGTACATGTATGTGTTCACGTCCTTACTTAGTTTTGGCTCGGGGAGAGAAGCGAGCAGTCTGTCGCACGTAGTTTGATTCCTCACCATGAAGTTCTTTGAGCCGTGTCATTTGTGGCCAACCCCACTGCCATGCAGTCCCATGACTCATTTCCTAGGCTCATGTTGGCTGCAGTCGTCTTTTTCTATCCAAAGGCAACTGGGGGCTGTGGACGGTCGGATCAAAAGCAACCTGAGCAGCTGATAAGTGGGTGCTGACTTTGACTGGCCTCTTGGAAGATACCGATGCAACATGATGCAACGGTAAAAGGATTGTCCGGTAGCTGTGTTTCTTTGCGAGTGAGCTTGCACTGGGTAGATTGAATATCGACCCATGGCAAGAGCCATCACGTGTTTGATCACTACAGCACTTGGATGGCCAGCCTAATGAGTCCGCGGGAATCACAGAATCACGCCCCTTTCATATTGTTTGAACACATGACCAGGTTGAGAGAAGATGACATGAGGAGGGGCACATGGGTAGGCACTTGTGCATACTTGTGCATACTTGTGCATATAACGATTCATTCAAGAACATACATACGGAGAACGATTGGATTGAAAACTGTATCGTTTTTTTGCCGTTCACATTGTTTGGCTTCACACCCAGTTTTTCGCAACACACTGAAACACGACAGCCGCACCAGCAAGTGAATAGAGTTAAAAGAAAACACTATGTTGTTTTTCAGAGAACACACCTTGCGTGGGTTGCAAAGGAACATTTGTAGCATTCATTTGTTTTTTTTCTTGCAAACAATCATAGGGGACATGTCATGTTTGGGTAGCGATGGGCAACACTGAGTCCTGGCAGGTCCTGCGGCGACTTTGCATCCTGATCACAGGCCACCCGAGCGAACGGGGGTGTTTGAAAGTCCTAAAAAAATATACGAACTGATGGGTTTCTCTTTCAACAAACAGCATGCATGATGAAGATGAACGTGGGAATCATTGGAGTAAGTGCAAGAAAAGTTCCGCAACCATGTGGTGATTGCTTTGCCAGGCCATGGTCAAATTCATGTTAGGAGTGCTTAGAAGCATTGCCAGGCCATGTCACAAAAGACATGGTATGAAGTTCGAGCTTTTGCGTTTGGCGTAGGATGGCGTGGTGCTGTTTGTCATAGATCCACCATCCCATGGCCGAGGTCCACCTCCTCGTCCTCCACCGGAGGTGGTCTCTGTGCCAACCTGAGGATTTTGAGTCGATCAGCGAAGGGCAATATGGCCTGAAGGGCCTGAAGACTTGGGGGATTTCGTGTACCTTGTTTGTGATAGTGTATGATCCTGTTATATCCTGTTATTGATTTTGTTCCTTTGGCTTGGCCTCCAAAAATCTATACCTGCGGGTCCTTCGTGCTGGTCTTTCCAGCGGAATGCAAAATATACGGATCGCACATGTTGCCATTGCCGTTGCTGTTGCTGCTGCTGCTGGTGGTGGTGGTGGTAGTGGTGGTGGTCGTCGTCGTCCCTTTCTGCATGGCCTTGTCGCCAAAACATGATCAATGAATTGCAACAGGTGTTGGTTTCTGCTTTCATGGGCAGTTCCAGATCTTGCTGGTACTGCTAGTAACTTTATAGTAACACCCACATCCACAGGTTAATTTACCTTCCTTGGTTCCTGATGCACTGATGAGTTGTTTTTTTGAGATGATATTGATTGCCACAAGATATTGTTTTTTTCATGTTTTTTCTTGCGGTCATAGATGCTGAAGAACATGAAAGATGGAGATATTGTTTGCACATTTATACCCGCTCACTGTGAAGGTATTCAAGGTTCCAACTGAATGCACAGCTGTCCAAAGCATCCTTTGTGGCACTACCAGGTGTCGACATCTGAAACTGTGACCTGGCTGTTTGGGAGGGTTGGGAGCTGTGCCAGTGGGAGCTTGGCACACTGGTCCTTTCAGAGCAGAACTCACTCATGGGGAAGACTAACCCTCTAACGGAACTCCAAGAAAAGATGATAACCAAAGGCAAAGGAGGAAGCACCGCGCTCGTTTCAAGCCGGGCCAATGTTTGTCTTATTGAGTTGATGGCTTTGGGACAACCTCCCCAGAAACCAGGATCATGAGGGTCCTGGAATGCCAAAGCTGTATGAATCAAGAATTGAAGAAATTGCTGAAGCCCCTCAGACTTCGACTTTTCTCTTTTTTTTCGAGAGTAGAACTGCAATTCACTTGGAAAGCGGAAAACGCGGAATGCCGCACTGTTTCTGGGTGATGTCAGGTGACGGTTCAGCACGAGGGATTTCGCCATGACCCGACCAACCAGCGCCTCGGATGCCATAAACGCTTGAAAAAGGTGAGAAACATCCAATTTGGTCACCACAAACATGAAGAATTGAACTAGATGAGAACAAGAGAATCATTTAGAATTTAGATGTCAGGATAAATGATCACCTTCCTTATTTGGTCGATAATGTCATGGGTCATCAAGATAAGACGGAGCGCTACTTCAACTCGGAGCGCATTGGAATTCCAATTCCTACACCACCCTCCGGAGCGCTGCCTACCGATATTTTTGCATGCATTCTCCGGAGAGAATGGAAGATCGTACAGTATTGCATTTGTAGCCTTTGCTGCGAGGAGGTAATGGGACATTGACAAACCGAAAATGAACACCCAAAACGCCTTGAGACTTTGCAGGCTTTGCAGGTTGTTGCAGGTTGTGCAGTGAAGACAGAGTGCAAATCAATGCCATTGAAGCCTGGTTCCACAAAATGGAGATCTGGTGAACAGCCTTCCAATTGCAGTCCAACTGAGGCATTATGAGCATCATCACATTATCCATCACCATCACCATGGTGGTCACCACCACCAGGGGGGTGGCCAATGATAAGCCGAATCAATGACTGGCTCCGAAAGGATCCGAATGGTCAAAACACAACCCGGGTGTTTCGAGCCTGGGTGTGAGTTGAAATCCTTTGTCTTGATGTTATCGGACCCGCCAGACTCCTTGATTGAGGAGATGACTCCAAACCACACTTCCAAGAAGAAAATCACACCCATGAAACCCTACTGGCACCGGGTGGCAGATTGATGTATATAGGCTTTGTATTGTGCAGCTTTTCAAACGCAAGGGTTCTCTCAGGCAAGCGAGAGGGTTCTCTTAGGCAAACATGTGCGATGTAGTTATATTGATATAATTTAAGCATGTGTTTCAAGTTAATGTTCTTTACAGGTGGCTCACATTCTGCTGCTTCGTCTCGTTGTTGTTGACTTTTGAGGAGGCGTATATAGTGCGAGTACGCAAGGAGCTAGAAAGGGCAACCGTTGATAGCCTCATCATGCCTCTACACTGGCAGACATGATGCTGGCACGTGCAAATGTAGGAGATTTGGATCCCCCAACTCACAAAGACGGGCTTGGCCAACATTTGCTCAAGACTCAAAACACAAACTTAGGATCCAGCTAAAATCAAAAATGGCAGATTTGGCTTGAGGCTTAGTGGCTAAGCGCTTCACAGGGCTGCTCAAGTCCAAATATTTTCCAATCCGAACCTCAAAGCTTTGGTCAGCCCTCATCCCCCAAAAGCTCCAAGCTGCAGTCAAAAGAAAAGGAATCGTGTGACTGAGAGAAGCCCCGGCAAGTTTTCCTTCAAGTGCAGTTTCTGACTGCAGGATTCCCACATTCATGGAGATGGACATGAATGGCTAATGGAGTTTAATGGCGATTTCTTGAGAGCCCTACACACCTCCCAAAAGCCAAGAAGTATTCGAATGTGTGGATACACTGCCCAATGACAGTGAAGAAAGTCTTCCTTGGATGCAATAATTCCTTGTTATGATTAACAGAATTGCCGGTCAGAAATTGGACTGAACTAATTTGCATTGATGCAAAATGCTCGTTTGATCTCATTTGCTTCTAGCATCAGATTCCCCAAAGGAGAATCATATTGAATATGCCTGATTGCAGAACTACAATTTCATGCATGCCATGATCATTACAAAATTAAATAGAAACCAATAGAAATATATTCGATTCAAGACATAATATTGATAATCTTTATGTTATTATGTTTGATTGATATATAGAATTTAAACTATATATATAATATATATAATATATGAATATATATATATATATATTACAAATTTTGTTATATATATATAGAATAAATTATATAAATTTTGTTGAATATGATATTAAATAGATTTATATAATTTTTTTAATTAATTTGTTTATGTTTGAAGATATATATATATATTATTAATACATATTTATATTTATATTAAAAATATATATAATATATTGTCGTATATTATATATTAAAATATTGCGTATTTGAAATTATATTGATAAATTGATATAATTTATTTGATTTATATTAAGATATTATTTGGAATATATTAGAATTGGATTCGATAGATATATTAGATATATATTATATAATATTTTATTTTATTTAAAATAAATCTATACTATTTAATTAATATTAATTAAATATATTAAAATTATATTAAAATACATAATATATATATGATAATATATATAGATATTATCACAAATGATGCAAAAGATATATCGATAAGGCAAAATAATAATAAATGAATTGATTGATTAATAAATCGACGAATATTAATATTATTAAGAAGAAGATTATATTAATTTCTCAAATTTAAAATATAAATGAGAATTGGATTTGATTATGTAGACGTATATAAGGCAATTTGTATAGTGGAAATTGATGTTTTGTAGCCGTTTGTTGCAAAGAATCTAATTGTTAGTAACATTTTTTTTTTGATCCATAAATATGCGAGAATTTGTTGTTGCCTTGCCGAAAGCAACAAACCACAAGGTCCCCGGATCGGATGAAATTCGTATTAAAAAACAAAATAAATACCTTAATGAAGAAAACAACCAAATCTTGTTGTTAATGCTGAATGACTGGTGGTTTCTTGAAAGGATCCCTTCGATTTTCCTCAATGCATAGGTAATTTCTATATTTTTTAGGCATTCTAGACAACATTGCTAATTACCAACCCATTTCACTCTTAAATGCTATCTACAAATTTTTCGCATAAATCGTCCGTTGCAGGCTAACCGAAATCATTGACCCTTTTATTTGCAAGACCCAATTCGGTTTTAGAAAGCATCGTTCTTCAATTGATGTCCTCTTTATAGCTAGACGACTTCAAGATATTGGCGAAAGAAATGGGGAGAACGTGGTTGGATTGGGCTAAAATATTCGACCGAATGTCCCACCCACGCATGATGCAAGCCTTGGAACGGTTAAATCTACCCAGCAAATTGAGAAATATTATTGCAAATTTCTATAGTAACTTGTCCTTTCAGCTGAAACACGAATATCTCCAATCGTATGTGAGGACACAAAGTTCAGGCATACGACAGGGATGCCCATTTTCCACCTTTTTATTTGTATTCGTCATGATTGTTCTTTTTCACGATATTGGAATCAAATATTCTAGAGATTTGATTGATAATCAATTCGATCATGTACGTTTTAATGAGGTGTTTTATGCTGATGACTTTTGATTTCCAAAATACGATAGGAATTAATAAATTCCTACACGCCATAGAAGAGAAATCAACATATTATGGGTTGATGCTCAACCACAACAAATGCAATGTTTTAGCAATGAACGGGCACAACATTATCCGCTTCCGAGATGGCTCGCAAATGAAACACGCCGACGAAGTCATCTACCTCGGCGGAATCTTCACAAAACAGGTGAATATTGCGTCCGAAATTTCCAGCAGAATTGCTTCTGCTATGGCGATTTGGAAAATTTTGGATATTTTCTGGAAAGAGGTGCAGTGCAGCTTGAGAAATACAATCCTGATATATAATGCCGTCATTAAATCAAAATTTCTTTATGCTTTAGAGACGTTGGAAATGCCAACTAGTCTTCTTTCTCGCCTGGAAGCGTTTCAATTGAAAGATTTAAGAACATGTTGGGAATGGCTACCACATATATAAACCGTGCCAATACCAACGCAGAAGTCTTGAGAAGAATAAATCTTCATATCTCCAACAACGAATTTGGAAATAAAATAGTGTCCATTCAAGACACTTTGAAGAATCGTTGAATTGCTTCAACTGATAGAATTCTTCGGTACAATAATGAATATCCTATGAGGATGGTAATTTTCAGAAATGATTCGGCCTCTCCGCTCGAAATATTATTCAGACGGGTTGGCAGGCCACGAAAACAATGGACCTACAATATTTTGATTTTGATTTGGAATCAAAGCCGCCAAACCGATGTTGAATTTAATAACTCTCGACAGCAGCTGGTTCAAATCCTCGACGCAACCAATAGAGAACGATTTTAAAAAACCCCTTTACCAGGTTAATACCTGGACTTCGAAACTAAATAGACTTTCAAACTTACACTTTTCCTATGCCATCCAATTCCTGTATTGACGGATATGAGGGACACCTACGGGTATGGCATTTGCTTAGTTGATATTATTTCACATATTCCTTTCACCCCCCATATCTATGGCACGCAAGAAGAAGAAGATAGATGGATAACAAATAACTTGAATATCGGCAAATGGACGATTAATATAACAATGAAATAAACATATTTAGTCTCCAAAGGTATTTTAGAGCCGAGAGCCGAGAAAATTAGTATAATGCATCATTAATAATATTAGAATATTATTAGATATCGGAAACCTTCTGTTTTTGATACAAAAAATCGAAATTCAATAACATAAATTGCAAAATAAACTATTAATCCAAAATAATTTCATCAATATTAGGAAATATAAATATATATTAAATGAAATGACAATTCAAATCCAAATAGACCAAAATTAATTCTAAATATAATGGAGGAAGATCTTATCTCTTCGTATTCCTCAATACCTAATCAGACCACCTAATCCGACAATACATGCAAATGGGTACAGTACCCACTGGGGCCGGGCCGTTGCGGGCCCGTTACCTGTCGGGAACTTGTCGAGAGCCCGTCGGCGCCTTGGGGCATGTTGGACCCGTTGGGCCCGGCGACGGTCCATTATATGCGAATTACCTTATTAATTAAAGGAAATTATTAGATTCGATAAATTACATGTAAACGTTATTTTTGTAGTTTGGAAAGTTCGTTTCCTTAAATATGAGTCTTGGTTGGAAGTTTGCGCGAGAATTTTTTAATTTCAAATTCATATGTGAAATGTAGTCCGGCAAGGGCTGGATTGAATTCACCCAAATCTTCTTGATATGAAATTAATTAAATTCATTTTGAAATCTAAAAGGATCATCTTTTGCAAAATACAAACCTGAACGAAAAATAAATAGATCTGATCTAGGGAGATCTGATTGAATTGATTTTCTTGACGTAATGTTAGTCTCGCCATCATTGCAATTAATTTCTTATTACCTGTCTAATTCTAATCCGATGAGCGCGAAGGTTTCTTCTGTCCGTTTCGTCCTTGTCGACGGTCGATTCTAACGTCTTCCTTTGTGCGTGGTTTCTTTGTAAAATCTTATTGGCAATCTGCATGAGATCGATCAAAGATTGATCGTTGAGGATCATATATTCCATCCGCAAAGAAATCAAATATTATAATGAAAGATAATATAGTAATCTATTTGAAGAAGGAAATATTCCTCTGACAATTATGTCCCAAAAATAGATATCACCATGGTCTAAGTGGTCAGGATCTGGAAATGTGGTGGGGTGATAATATTAATTAGATCCATTATATGGGAAATTTAATGATAAATATTAATGAATCCATGCCGTCGTGCCTCAGGCCAAAAGCACTAATGTGGATTAGGCGAAATCCGCATGTCTTTCGACAATCGGTGATAATCATATCAGAGAACAAATCTGGAATCCATGATGATATAATAAATGGTTGTTATAAATCCTGAAGATATAGTTATAGTCGTGAGAATATCATTTGTTTAGGTCCCTTTGTAGGAGGGGAAGGCAAGGTCTCTGTTGTGGCATT